GCGGTGAAAACACAAGGCTGCGCTGAGTGATCTTTGGAACCTGAGGGTTCCGATCGGCAATCAAATTGGTAGCGGAGCCTGGTTTGTGCGGCTCAGGGACTTTTGGTGAGGAGAAGTCCGAGGAGGTTCTTGGCAAGAGCTACGTCAAGTTTGCTCCTGTTCGGTGGCCACGCCGGGACTTCTCGAAAGCTGTTTCCTTTGTCTTTGGCATCTCCCGTAAAGGTGCTCCTCGCAAGCTCTTTGGCCCGATAAGGGACTTGAGCATCGTCGTGATCTACGGCAAGGCAGAACTCGGGCGACTTCGGCATCATCATGGCGACTGTGGCGGCGAAGGATGTGTACGTGACGTGGGACGGAGATCCGTCTGGCTGGGGCGACTACCTTCGGAAGGTCAGGCTCCAGTACGACAAGACGCCGGAGGACAAGAAGAAGCTCTTGGGGCCGGAATTGGTTTCCCGCCTCACGGACAAAGCCTGGGCAGTCTGCGCGGAAGTGGACTACAACCGTTTGAAGAAGCGGAGTGGCACCCGGTATCTCCTTATCTTCCTCCGGGACAAGTTGTGCCGCACTCCCGTGCCTGATGTGGGCACTCGCCTTGAGGAGTTGTTTGTGAAGCTGAGGCGCAGCCCTGGAGTCTCGATGGCTCAATGGTCTCAACACTTGAGAGAGACCTACAAGCGACTCCAGAGGTCACTACTTCGAGTTCGACAGGATCGGCAATTACGTGGAGTGGAGGCACCTACGACCGGGACGCCCCCAACGGCGAGGGCGGATCTGGATGCTTCTCGGACTGAGTCTGGTTCTGGACCACCGGAAGAGAGACGCCCCCGGAGCCATCCCGCATCTCCGACTACGAGCGCTACTACCCGGGTGATTCCGGAAGCTCCAGCAGCTGGTGATGGAGAACGTGATGGAGATGGTGCGGTGGCGGAGGAGACCCGGGCAGCGTCAGAGGCCGGCGGGTCCCCTGGCAGCGAGTGGTCCTGGGGACGTGATGAGTGGCGACACTGGGACTGGTCTGAATGGCAGGGAGGTCGTCGCGGAGACGAAGAAGATGAAGAGGACATGCCTGGGACGAGCTCGAGGTTCAGGAATGTGATGTCCTGCCGAAGGAGCTGTTGGGTTGGCTTCTTTTGCGAAGGTCTGGCCTGAGCGCACAGGCTAGGTTATCTGTGCTGGCCTCCACGCACAACTCCCTGATGATCGAAGACGTGGAGCGGGCACTACGTGATCAAGAAGAAGAACTCCTGTTCATGGAGAGCAAGGGCCAGCAAGAGCGCAATTACCACCGCCCAAAGAGGACCTATTGGGTGGAAGAATCCCAGGAATGGGGTCTCCTGGACTATGAGCCGGAAGAGGAGGTGGAGCCTACGGTTCATTGGGTTGGCCGGCAACTTCCTGATGAGGTCCATGCACGGCCTGATCCTCCTGAAGTATCTGCAGTACCGGAGGCGGCATGGTGGTCGGATTCCTGGACGGACCCTTGGAATGGTCAAGATGGAATTTGGGCAGCCGCCGAAACCGATTTCTCGCAGGACGAGCTGAAAGAGCTGGAAGAGGCGTACGCAGTGTACGAAGGCAAGCTCCGGACCTTTGCCCAGGCCCGTGCCCTGATGAAGAACAGCGGTTGGACGTGGTTTCTTTCCGACAGCAAAGGGCACCTATGGCAAGTCGAAGGACAAGAAGGGCAAAGGGTACGGCTCTGCTCCGGTTCTGGCAGCTTCATCCCCGACGAGGAAAGGACCTGGAAAGGTTGGCTCACCGGACTACAGTGGATGCTTCATCTGCGGAGCGAAGGACCATAGCTTTCAGAACTGTCCTAAGCGTGGGAGAAAGGGAACAAGTTCTGGAAAAGGGTCCTCGCCTTCCTACGGCATCTTCATGGTCACCCCCTGGGACCTGGACGTGAACGAAGACGTGATCGGTGACGATGGCATTATGCTGGCCACAGAGGAGGCGCATGGCTGGAGGGCCCATGGAGTGATCGACTGTGGAGCTACGGAGACGGTGGCTTCGTTGCAGGCGATCGAAGAACTCATGGCTCGACGACGTGAGCTTCGCGATGGACAAGAGGAAGCTATACGGGTCTTTTCGGACGTGCGCAAGCAGTTCCGTTTTGGAAATGGCCAGGAGCTGCAGGCCAGCTCCTACATTGAGATTCCCCAGCAGATCAACGGTTGCACCTTCTATCTCGGCATCTTCACTCTCGACACGGAAGGGTACGTGCCGGTGCTCCTGGGCATCAAGACTCTTCATCGCCTGGGCACCGTCGTGGATTTTGCAAACCACCGTGCAGCCTTCACCCGAGTATGTCAAGATTGGCTTCCCCTCGTGAACTGTGAGCGGACCGGGCACTTGTTAGTTGACATGAGCCTGGACTGGATGACCCCGAAATTCACGACTGTCTACATGGCGCGAGAGGGATGGTTTGACTTGGGGACGGAGGTTGTTGAGGTTCCTTTTGAAGGGCATGCTCCGGTTGAGGATGAACAGGATGCAGATGTGAAGTTTGAATCCGATTTGCAGCAGCCGATGATAGCTCAAGCTAGTGAATCTGCTGGAGGAGCTCCTCCTGCTGAGCTAGGCAGCCATGGCCATGATCCACATGGAGAAGGAGATCGCTCAGCGGGAGACATTCGCCGTCGGCAAGCCGAAATCCAAGGCGAAGGGCAAGTCCAAGGGGTCTCCAAAGGTCAAGATTCCGGACTCGGACAAGTACGACTTCAGCCGGGAGGAGAAGACGGATCCGCGGGACCCAAGGGCTCAGGGTCCTCCATGCAATGGAACTCACGAGCCGATGCCGATGGGCCGTGGCTCTCTTTCCGGGAAGAACGGACATGCGATGTGGCTGACATGCCAGAGGTGTCGCATACGGCTGTCCTATGTGCCGGCGATTGGCGCTCATGCCCGTTTCCGGCAGTCCTCCCTGTGGGAGCGTGGGAGGACACCTCCAATTGGAGCCTCCAAAAGCAGTCTTGTGGCCCCTGTCCAGAAAGGCTACCGCCAAACGTGGGCGCGGAAACGCCGAGAAAAGAAAAACAAAACGGACGCCGTGAGCGCAGAAAGGAGGCAGCCTCCCCAGCAGTCCAGGATGAGTTGCTGTCCAAGAAGATGGCTTAAGAGGATGGGAGAGACCATAGAGGAGGCAGACACTTCGCCAACACAACGGATTCTTGCAGGATAGCGTGGAAAGCAAATGTTTGGGCGAGAACCAGAAGGCATACTGACTGCAAGCGGCCTGCAGTGAGATGATGAAAAGGCGATCATGGGCGTGGAGTCCGTGACATGATAATTCAAAGCGCCCGGTGGTTTGAAGTAGAGATGTGCATCCACCGGACAGCTACGCTGGCGCAGATAATTGCTGGATCTTGGAGAAACCGCAGCGGTTGGGATCAACCCCCCTCGCCTTGCTCAACAAGAGCACGGTCGACATCAATAAGCCCTTGGGTCGCCCCTAGCTCGCCGTCTTTTCCCATCCCCCCTCCTCCCACCGGAGTACAAATCTGAAGCAAACTCACCTGATGAAGAGGTGCCCGCGCACGATGAGAAGAAAAACAGGGAGATTTAGTTGTAGAGACTTCAGATGGCTGGTGCACGATGTTTTGAGAAAAATGAATCTCGGTTCCTGAAACCGAAGCGCGAAGCAATCAAGATAAAAGGCCAAAACATGAAACACAACGACAGCTGAAGGATGTACCAGAAGGCGAATATACAAGACAATGTTTAAACTAACATCAGGTGGGAGTTCAGGCTGGCGATGAGAAGCTCATGAAAAGCCTTTGGTTTCTTACAGCGGGCAGGGGAGCTGCTCGCGTCTTTGAACCTGACCTGCCCTGGGAACCATGCTCACTCTCCCTGCCTAGAAGGGAGCAACACAGCTCGCTCTGCCTTTTACACCGAGAAGATGGTGAGGATCATTGCCCGCCGGGTTCTGGAGAGTAAGTTTGCGGTGCCGTCCTACATGGTGGACAACCAGGATGGCATGGTCTTTGGCACTGAAGAGGGAGAGAACCAGGACGAAGCGATCCCCGAGGGTGTCACTCCAGAACTTTGGCAACGAGTCCAAGATGTGGTGCACAAGCTTCATGCACGTGCCGGGCATCCCTCGAATAGAGCACTGGAAAGCTCTCTGCGGGCGCGGGGAGCAGACGAGGTGATCATCAAGGCGGCCAGGAACTTGCAGTGTGATGCTTGCAAAGAAGCGGGTAAGGCTGTGCCAGTGGCTCGGGCGACTTTTGGCCGGGCGGACACTTTGTGGCACACCTTGCAAATGGACGTGGGCTACTTCCGTTGGCACGATGAGATGACCCATGTTTTGTTCCTGGTGGATGAGGCTTCGACCTTTGTGGTACCTCACTTTCTGTTCACCACGAAGGGCGAAGAGTCGCGGAATGCTACAGCCGAGGAGGTTGTGAATGCGTTGGAGAGTACGTGGGTGCGTTTCTTTGGGCACCCCAGCACCCTGAGGTTGGATCCAGAAGGAGCCTTTCGTTCTCGACTACTTGAAGAGTGGTGTGCGAAAAGGGATGTGGAACTTTTGCCATGCGCTGCTGAGGCTCATTGGCAAATTGGCACAGTAGAGCGGATGATTGGAGTCATCCGGAAGTCTCTGGATCGCTTCATGAGATCCGAAGAGACAACGATGTGGCAAGGTGTGATGGCAATGTGTGCCGCCCACAACGAGAACGGCAAGGTCGGTGGTTTCAGCCCCAATCAGTGGGCACTTGGTCGTGATCCTGGTCTGGATTTGAAGTTGCATGAAAGTGGTCGAGATGCTGCTCCTCTCCATCTTAGCCAGCGAGATCCTAAGGATGAGCTGTCGAAGACGATGGCCACACGCATGCGGGCGGAGGAGAACTATAAACGGATGGTGGCGCAGGAGGCAATAAATCGGGCGTGGAATTCAAGGGCGAGAAGCAACGAGGTTTACCTTCCCGGCTCTCTCGTCTACTACAAGAGGTTCAAGGCCCCCGCGCAAGCTGCGTCCCATGAAGGAGCAGACGCATCTCGGAAGAGACTGGCCAAGTGGTATGGCCCTGCTCGGGTTTTAGCCACGGAAACGAAGCTCATCGGGGAGGAGGCCACCCCGAGTCGAATCATCTGGATCGTTGCGGCTGGAAGATTGAAGAGGGTGTCTCCAGAGCAACTCCGAATGGCTTCACCACGGGAGGTCATGATTGAGGAGGCAACGAGACCGGCATCCTTTCCCTGGACCACGCACGGCATGTTGGAGCAAGTGGAGAAGGGCGAGTTTGACGACTACGAGGACCTGTATCCGGACGGAGGTTTGATTCCGCCAATGCAGGGAGTGAAACGCAGTCGTAGCCAGAGTGTTCCTAGAACTGGTCCTGTTTTGAAAAAGGAGGGAGCTAAGAAAGAACCAAGACCGACTGAAAGAGCTCAAAAGACCTCATCAAGAACGGGTGGGATTTCAGAGCCAAAAGATGCGCCAAAATCTGTCGGTGAGGCCCGACGAGCGCCAGGAACCCCCCGAGCGGCACGGGTAAGATCGAGGTCCCCTGTAGCTGGTAGTAGGACCACATCTAGCTCTCCGGGCTTAGGTTTAGACGTTTCACGCATGCTGCAGGGACCCGACCTATGCCCCGTCTTCCTCAATCTCCACTGAGCTGTCGGGCAACAGGCAGTTTGCGGCTGCTCGCAAACGGCATGGAGTGAACTTCGCTGAGCCCGTCGATCAGTTCATGGTTGACATCGGCTTGGAGGAGCAGTCTGGGAACGGGGAGGCGATGGTGTTCCTCTCGGTTGACCTTCCTGACGATGAGAAGGGCATGAAGAAATTCAGAAGAGACCCAGAAACCTGGGTCGCTCACAAGGTGAAGAAATCGCCGGAGATCAAGCTGCACAAGGTATCGACGGAGAAGCAAGAGGAGTTCAAGACCGCCAAGGCTTTGGAAGTGACTCAATGGATACAGAGTGCTGCATGCCGGGCCGTGGAGAAGGGCAAGTACATCCCCGCCGATCGCATCATGAAGATGCGGTGGGTTCTCACCGTGAAGTCCACGGGTCGGGCTAAGGCCCGGATTGTGATCGTTGGCTTTGCTGACCCTGATCTGGAGCGTCTTCCGAGGTCTTCACCCACGATGACAAGGAGGACCCGGCAACTCATGGCTGGCATGGCGGTGGTGAAGGGTTGGTCGCAACTGAAGTGCGACGCCAAGAGTGCGTTCCTGCAGACATCCCGGAACACCGAGGAGGAGCGCGAGATCTATGCTCTTCCGGTGCCTGAACTTGCAGAGGCGATGAAAGTGGAACATCGTCAAGCGGTCCAAGTGCTTAAGAGCTGCTATGGGCTTGTAAATGCGCCCTATCGGTGGTTCTGCGAGGTGAGGGACCGCATCGTGTCTTTGGGTGGTCAGACCTTGATCACGGAGCCATGCTGCTGGCGAATCAAGAACGAGGAGGGTGTCGTCATCGGTTTGGTTGGATCCCATGTGGATGACTTCTACATGGTTGGTGACGAGCAGGATGACACCTGGTCCAAGTTCCTTCAGGACTTCAAGGACTCGTATCGGTGGTCCCCTTGGGAGGCTGATGGCTTTGATCATTGCGGGATCTACATGCAGCAGCTTTCCAACCGCGAGATCACCATGGATCACAGCAAGTACTGTTCCGGCATCACGCAGATTTCCTTCGAGGGTCGGGATGTGCATGACAAGGCCACTATGGAGGAAGTAGAACAAGCCCGCGCTGTTCTTGGCGCGATTCAATGGCGAGTCCAACAGAGTGGACCCCAACATGGAGCAAAATTGGGGCAGCTCATGACGTTGCTGCCGCATTTCACTGTGCAGGTTTTGAAGGACGTGAACAAACTTGTCCGCGAGGTGTATTCTCAGCGGATGCTCTGCCCGAAGTTCCAGAACCTTGGGTGCACTGCAGAAGAGACCATGCTGGTGTGCTGGACAGACGCTGCATTGGCGAACCGTGCAGATGGTGGAAGCACTGGCGAGTTTGTGGTGGCTTTGACGGCCCCGGAGATGGCGCGGGGCCAGAGGGCACCTCTCACGCTGGTCAGTTGGAAGTCCATGAAGCTGAAGAGAGTAGCCCGGAGTTCCCTTGCGGCTGAAGTGCAGGCTTTCAGTGAAGGGGAGCAGGAGTTGATGTGGTGCCGCTTGCAATGGTCGGAGATGCTGGGCAACGTGGTGGATCTGGCTCAGCCTCAGGAGGCGGTGAAGATGGTGAAAGGTATTTTGGTGACGGACGCGAAGTCGTTGTACGATTCCGTGACCAAAGGCGATGCTGCGACAAGTGGC